CACTTGTCCGATTTCATTTTAGAGAGCAGGCGTGAGCTGTGTGCTCTTCATTTCTGTCTGATTCAGGCAGCTAATGCTGCTAACAGCTGCTCTGACTGGACTGTTTACACAGCGCAAAAACTCATGCTTGTAGGGGAGTGACGTGGAGCCAATGCGCAAATCATAACACATTATGTTAGCGGACCAATCAGAGCCTCTTGTGGGCGGGCCTTTCAGAGGAATTAGGAAATATGACCGTCGTTTTCATGTTAGCTGGGTATAGTCAAAGTAAGATATATGAAAAGATAACCTGATTTTTTTTACAAGTGAAGCATGAGCACACATTGCTTATAAACACAACCAAGCCTTAAAATGCACTCTGGACCACCTCTTTAAATAAAACCACCGTTGTTTACAGTTTGCCTTTTTACTGTTACGTTTTTTAGTTTTTTTTTTTTTAATTGTAGATCATCTCTGGCTGTAAAGCTTGGTTCGAAATTCTTTAAAATACCCATAGAGAATTTGAAGGTGAATAATACAATGTTTGCCAGTGTACTCTGTCAATGTTATCCTAATGCCCGAGGTGTCATCATTTTCATGAGAAATTTGCAACTTGAAAAACAGTCTGACTCATTGTGATATTTTCCTGTAATAGTTGAAGGAGCTGAAATAATGGCATTTCTTATAAACACCTTAAGTGAAAAGTGCACGTCACATTCCGTCTTATCTCTAAGCAAAATCTGTCGCTCTCGTTTTGCGCAGCAGTTTTTACCCCATGCCTTACCATCTTACGAGTGTCTTACAGAGGCAAAACATTGTGTTTGAGAGGCCAACGGTCTCAAAACATTCCCAAAATAGACAAGCATGGGCATATGCATTCTTCCTCACCCCAGTGCATGAATTATACATTGCTCTGTGAGGATTCACAGTCTTGTGTCAGGCAAATGCACTGACGAAGTGTTACATAAGACTGATACAGGAGTGTTTATTTAAAAAAAAAAAAAAAAAATGAAGAGGCTGTTCCTGCAGGTACAGTGATGGAGCTTGTGTGTAATTTGGGGAAATTTGTGTTCCTTTGGGTCTCAGAGATTAATGGGGGTTTCCGCTCGCATCCGGCAACCGTGTCGTTGAAGGTCTCCGTTTGCAAAGCTGACCTAATTCTTCCTCCGCTCATTCTGTGGCTGGGTGTTAAAAGTCACGCTTGGTTTTAAAGAATCTGAGCTGACTGCTAGTGCTGTGTCCTTTCACTTTTAGCCATGCTTATAATTCATGGTTTTGATGTGTTTGTTTTAGATTGGGTTTGTTTATACACTTTAAAACCCAACAGTCAACTTTATCAAATGAAATGAGTGTAGTCAACTTAAAATTTACAGGAAGTTAATTCTACTTTGAAAAGAGTTTTGAACGCCGTGTTGATGGTACTAAGTTAATTAAATAACTCATCACTTCAACTTAAATGGTGTAAGTTCACAGTACTCATATAGATTAGTTTTAAAGGGTTTGTAGCAATCGGTTTCCTCAAACGGTTTTAGTTGCCTTATTGAGTTTTACAGTACTCAGTTGATTTGAGTTCTCTTCATTTATTGGGTTTTACTGTGCTCAAATTGCTTCATTCACTCAACTGGATTAGGTTCACAGTCCTCATTAGGATTTGTTTTTGAACTTAAATGTTTTGTAGCAATCGGTTTCCTCAAATTGTTTGAGTTACCTTGACTTTTTGGGGTTTTACAGTGTACTTTTATTTAAAGTTTTTCACATTTTATAGAACAAATCTTAAACCCACTCTATCTCAGTAAATAACAATATACATATGGAAAATATAAATGCATAAGCAACTGTACACCCACAACTGTACAGATACTTAATAGGCATGCAACGATGCACCGGTTACACTATTAACCACGCTTTAATTCGTCACGGTTAATAAAAATTTCTGCACTGAACAAAACTGCAACAACTAAACAAAATTATGCCAACTGTGAGCTAGTTTACATTTCTGAGCTTGTACACCGAGACTACTAACCTCGCACATGTTGTATGAATGAACACCTTGAATATCCCATTCAACTACTTTACATTCATCTAAAAGAAGCTGAATTCATCATTCTTGTTCAATCTTCGTTGATTTTTTTTTTTTTAAATGCTGTTATACATTTGTATATTTTTTTATTCGTTAATTCACTGAACCATATTTCAGAAATAAGCCCTTCTGGTCACATGAATGGCAGCTATTGTCAGATTTCCATGGCAACCATGTTTTGCGTATTGTTTTATGTGTCTTGCATTATTTATTGCTTGTGCTCATTTTCATAAGTATCATGCTTGTTGGCACTGACGGTTCAAATAACTGCTTCAGGGATATGAAATGAAAATTAGAGAGTGATTAGATACCATTCTAGATGTTTTATACTCACACCACTACGTAGCCTCATGCTTTTCTGTGACTTTAAATTGAAATGCCACTGTGAAGTTGATGTTATTGTGCTAAAAGCATCTCTGAGCCAGAGATTTACAATAAGATATTTTTGCATGTCACACTGGAACTTATTGTTTAAGAAAAATACATTAGGTGCCATTTTTAGGTAGATTTTTAGAGTTTTTTTTTTGGAAATTAGAGTTTCAAAGCTTGTTTCAAAGCTGTTTTCTGGCTTTAGCTCACTTGACACTGTAATAAGTAGGGTGTTTAATGTGACAAATGCCCTTGCACATGGCTGGACACTTTTCCAGCAGTGTTGCTATTTTGATATTAGTACACAGTTTCTCTATCACAGAGAGGTGTGATATTTTTTTTTTTTTTTTTTTGTGTGTGTGTGTGCAAAGCATTTGTTGCCTATAGATTGTTCCTCTATATTTGACCACAAGGGCTTAGAATTGGCATGAAGGAGGGGACGTGTCCCCACCAATATCCACCAATTACTGAAATGTCCCTACCAATAATTTAATTGACTTCAAAATAATAAAATAAGGCTTTGTCAACCCTTAAGCCTGGTTTATACTTCTGTGTCAAGTAATCGGCGTGACCCACGGTGTGTGTTTTTTCTGCAATAACACTTCCGAAATGCTAGCGGGCAGTGAGGTGTTTATGTTCCTCTGTCGAGTTTCTTCGCTAGTGTTTTGTTATTTCTGTATGCTTTCTTAATGTACAAGTAGCTCAAACTCACTCATTTTGATGTGCAACAACTTTAACCATAGGGTAAACTTTTCATCTGGAGCTCCTTCATGGGACTTGACACTTGTAAACAGTCGCTTCAACGGACTCGTGCAGCTCTCGGTCCTGCTCACATTCATCAGCACTACCAAGTCAACCAATCACAGAGCTTGTGCTACACTACATTGCGACATGTATTTACATTTTTTGAGAGGTGCATGTCAGCGACTGCCACGGCGAGGGCTATGCAACCACACATAGGCTGCGCTGTAGCATAGGTGTGCTTGACGCAGAAGTATAAATCAGCCTTTAGTAACCTACCCTTGAAAAACTCAAATTTGCTACGAGTTCACCATAATACTATTAACCAAGGCTGTGCAATTTATTGAAATTCACTTTCGATTTTGGCCACCATGATAATGAGTAACTATAATCGGGATAAAACAGTTAAATTGCATCACACAACTCTCTAAAATTCTCTCCATTCATACCTCCTTAAAGCCCAGCTTCAGTAAAATCATGTAAATTGTCTTTTACAGCATGGGACATGTGATTGCTATTTGTATTATTAAGTGTATATTTTGTATTATTGAGTACATTATTCATGTTTTTATAAGTGCAAAACTGAATGTGTGCTGTTCAATGCAGCTTTAAGGATGTATGTCCCCACCAAAGATTTATTTACGGTGCGGATGGCCTTCACACAGTCTCAGACCCTTCAAATGGCTGACGCTGACCCTGACGGGCACCTCTCAAAAAATTTAACTACATGTTGCAACGAAGCATAGCACAGGAGCTGTGATTGGGCGGCTTGATAGAGTAATGGGCGAGGCTGAGAGTCACAGGAGAGGAGCAAGCCCGTTATCATGAGTGTTTAACAAGTGTCGAGTCCCATAAAGGAGTTTCAGATGGATACTTTTGTTTTACTTTTATTAAAGTTGTTGCATGTCAGCCAGTTCCCGTATCTGTATTAGCGTGTTTGGAGTATTTGTACAATAAGTTAGAATAACCGATACATCTGGTGTAAACCAAACACCCACGAAAAAACTTGACACCAAGTTACCAAGTTAGCGTTTTAAGTATCACTGTCAAAGCAACACAATTAAAATTGTGCTTTTTTTGGTGACTGTCGCTTTAAATTTATATGAGATTGTGCTCTTTTTCAGAGGGTGGAGATATGAATGCTTGTGTGTCACTTTAGCGGCAGATTTTAACTAATGGTGGATGGCTGCTTCTCATTTAGGGCTGTCTATGCTAATAAGAGAGCAATCATCACTTATGGGCGGGGCTTTCCCCCTCTGATGACACGTACAAATAGTGAATGTCAATCAAAGTGTTTCTGAAGACTGTTTTTATCCTGTGTGTTTATTAAAAAATAGATTTAATACATTTTTACCTTTAGAGGCTGGCAATAGTCACACTTACCACACACCTGTGTTTAAACCCCTTATAAAAATGACTTTTCATAATAGGTCTCCTTTAAAGTCTAAAATTTTGCACCTTGATGTAGTTCTTCTTTAACCTAAATTAGATAAGAACAATATCACCTGATTATTTTAGTATAATGATTATTACATAAATGAATTGTAAATAGAGCTAATAAAAATATGATTTTGCAAGGGAAATATTAAATCACAAGAAATATTGTTATCACTGTACTCAACAACATCTCATATTTTCCCAGTATTGCAGCCCTTGTAATACACTGTTATGTTCAAACAGATATTAAACTTTAATTCACACTCTTTGTTACATCTAATGACTGCAGAATCAGCATTTATGATGGCTCTAGTGTACATTCTATCTGTGATTGATTCATAATGTTCAATGACAGGATAATGCAATCTAATCTTCTGTTATTTTCTCCCCTAAGGATCCTGCGGGCATTTTTGAGCTGGTGGAGCTTGTGGGAAATGGGACCTATGGACAAGTATATAAGGTAAATATTGACTTTTCTGTTTGATCTGGTTCATGTGATTGGCTGGATGTAGCTAGTTTAGTTCCAAAACATGTTTGGTGTTCCCCTCAGCTGTTTCTGCTCTTCCTCGAGTCTGAGATCTGCTCTTACCTGTTAGTGGCTCAGCAGCTTGCGTTATACATGTGGTATGTCCTGACATGTCAAGACTCATGTGTTATTTTGTACTACTAGATTCTTCGCCCTCTTCCATTGCCTGTTCAGAAAGTAGTGAGTCAGATTGTTCAATTGAAAGACTTGTTTGCATTTTTGGACGGGGTGATGTGTTAGCAAGGCTTAGGTTTTTTAAATGATATTGATGAAAATGTCAGGTTTAAGTTGCTGATGGAGTCTCTGTGGGGATTTGTAGAGTTTGTTACTGTCTGAACTAGAGGTGTAATGATACTTAAAAAAAACATTGTTCAGTATTTTGAAGTCATGTTTTTGGAACAGAAGTATGGGAAACTAAACATAAAATGGCTTCTTTTTTATTTTAATTTATAAAATAGTGGTTTACAGTAGAAATTGAGTCTTCTCTTTACATAATTTCACTTATTTGAATTCTCTTATGAATAATAAAGTCTCAGCAAATGCTGTTAACTGTATAGGGAGGTCTATTAATTGCACATTATTGCAATATGAATAGATTGTTTTGTTTATTTTATAGTGCTCTCTGTGGTCTGCTTATGTTTGCAAGACCCTTTAACATAACACATATTCTAATGTAAAAGTAATAGGGCTTTTTTGTGCTTGTGGAAATTAGGGGTGTCAAAATTAATTGTTTCTTTGGTACAATTCGGTATCGGTTCAGTAATAATAATCATAACCGGTTATTATGTACTGACGTCATTTATCTCCTATGCTCTCTGTTGCGAGGGAGGTGAGCGCGAGTATTTACAACACTCAGCCAACTCAGGGCCAGTATGTGGCATAGGCACCATAGGCAAATGCTAAGGGCGCTGTATATCCAGGAGGGCGCCAGAAAGGAGCGTGGTTCAGTTGGTTTTGTTTTCGATATTCTTGACGCACATTCAGTTACAGACGGCAATAACTCAAAAAAACCTTTTACCCTAAAAAGATCTAAAGTGTGTTTCCAACAAAAAGACAAAGCTAGTTATGTTTCACAGCTGTCTTTCTTTTTTTTTTCGCTCCACACTACGAGCACTGCTCCGTTTAAGCCCTCGCAATATGTGTATAGCTGGGATAGCTCGCGCTGAGAGGAGCTCTCAATAAGGGACCGTCAGAAAAGTGCTTATTTTTTTCGTTTTTTTTTTTTCGTTTTTCTGCTCCGCTCTTCGCGAGCTCTCCCTGTTGCGAGGGCTTAAGTGTGTGTGCGTGCGTGTGTGTGTGTGTTTGTTTCTTTGGTGCTGTCTATGTTTGTGTTTGAATGAGAGACAGTGTGGTGCTGTGTCTCTGTGTGTTTATACAGACAGCTTGTTATAGCCTCTCCTCTAAAATATAACACTGTATATGGAAAGCATCGTCAATGCACCGTGATGCACCGAAATATCGAATTGAACCGAATCGAAGGTATGATAATCGTAACCGAACCGAACCGTGAGACCAGTATAGGTTCACACCTCTAGTGGAAATTGTGGGGTTCTTATCACCAACACCAGCACTAGGGATGCACAATATATCCTTCCGGCATCGATATTGCAATGTAAGATCTCAAGAGATTTCAAGTTAATTTAAACTATTTTTAGTTTACTAAGACATTAGTACTTTTTTCTGCTTTAACAGTTAGATTTGATTAGATTTGATAGTGAATAAGCACCATTGTAAATTGTATTTTAAGGGATTTATTTTATTTTAAAATAACATTAACTAGGACTAACAAAACCCAGAAACAACTATCTAACTTATGCTAATATTAGACAACTAATGTATTTCTAATAATTATTAAATATTAATGATGATGAAAATTACAATAATAGTAATAATGAATTACATTTCTCATTATGATGCTGCCTTGAATGTGCTTGAATGTGAGTTATCTGCTATAAAAAAGTCTGTTACTTTATAAAAAATAAATTTATGGTTTGCATCAAACAAAAATGAAGCATTGCAGTAAGAAATGTGTATTTTGCACTATTGTTTTTATATGCATGTCCATTTAATAAACAATATTTCTGCTACAAAACAAACAACAGACTATAGTAAATCATTCAATCAATGCTGAAAGCTGCAAAACAGTCATCAGTAGTTAAATAGCAAAATAATATACATCTCAAGATAGAATGGACAAAAGAAAGTCTCACTTCTATCACTCTTTAACAGTTTTGATTTCGGTCATTTTAAATGCTCAGTCTCGTTATGAGCTAATCTTTTTCTGTGTTTGTGGAAAGCTGGCGAGTCAACCGGACCAATATATGAGCAGGCAGAGCATGATTCTCGCGATGACCACTGGTGTAATGCTGATCTAAGTTATGAGCTGCAGTTTCAGTTTAAACTTAGTAAAGGCGAGCTTCTTTGGCAATGATATGTACAGTATTAGACTTTACATTTAGCGAATATTTGCGCTGAACACACAGTGAATGCAACACATCCAGATTCGGGAACCTTCTCCAAAAACACTCAATTGATCTCGGCTGGCGGATCAACATTCACCACATGTCATGATCGCTTTCATCTGCACCTCAACTTTAGGTGGGGTTTGCAAAACTGTGCTTTTCACTCTTCAGCCGTTTGCATTTCCTGCGGTTATTAAAGCTCCCTCCCTGTCATCTAACGGCAGAATGCCTTGAGTGATTGACAGCTAATATTAATCAATATAGTGGCAGGGAAGAGCGATTCAGCACGTTTTTTTTAGAAAAAATCAAAACAGGTCGCATTACAATTGTTATATGCAGTTCCACAAATGCTCCCAAATATATTATGAGGTCGCATAGCCTAAATTTCGAGCGCATATGCGACCAAAATGATTGCAGTTTCGAGCCCTGGTATGTAATTTTAATAAATGTCTTCACTGAACAGGATGTTTATGTAATGTTATAATTAGATTTGGCATAAAGGAAAAATCTTCAGAGAGATTTTGTGGTCCAGGGTGACATATTGTAAATATTTACATAAAAAATTTAGTACAAATCTACAGTGGTTTCTTTCCTCTAGTGTCCCTAACATATGTCGGCACACTGAATGGCTCAAAGGTATAGTTCACCCGTAGTTCAAATGGAAATTCTGTCATCATTTATGTCATCACTCTTCACTTATTCTAAGCCTCGTAGACTTTCCTTATTCTGTTCAACACAAAAATATTTAGAAGAAATCTGGTATTCTGTGTTTTTCCTGCTATAGGAGTTAGTGGCTACTGGTTTTTAGCTTTCTTCAGAATGTCTTCTCTTGTGTTCAATGGACGAAATTTGCTCAGAAATGTTTGAAGCCGCGTGATGGAGAGTAAATAATTTTAAGTAAATTTAAAATTGTGGGTGAACTATTCATTTACGGTTAATGCAGTGTGTGACTTTGTTTACAAGCTGTTTTATTAATATATTTCAGTGGCTGAGCAAAAATAGGAGAGTGAGATGTTTATTTAATGCTGTAACTAATAGAAAAGAGTAAGAAATTGTGGCATTCCCTCACTCTTATATAGAAATCTTGCCATCAATAAGTCTCAAAACAGAATTTGCTAGAATTTTCTTATCGAATTTGTCTTTGTTTCTTATCAGAAGTTTTTAAAAAATCTTGTGATTACTGAATGAGATGTGAGCTATTTATTATATCGTTTTTCGTTTTATTTATTAGCTAAAGCAGCCAGACTAAAAGATCAACCTTTGGTTTTAAGAATCAAGAACAATTTTTTTTTAAATTAAGATCTAAATCCAAGTAAATTTTGACTTGTGAGGTCAGTGGTTAAAACAATACTGCATTTTTTCATCACACATGAACATTTTCCCAGTTCACTACAGCAGTGTTTCTCAACTACGTTCCTGAGAGACCACCAGCTCTGCACAGTTTCCCTGTCTTCAAACAAACCTGATCATCAGCTCATTAGCAGGGACTAAAAGACCTTTAATGAATGTGACAGACAAAGAAGACAACAAAACATGCAGGGTTGGTGAACCTCCAGGAACGTGGTTGAGAAACACTGCACTATAGTATCTGGACAGTTTGGTGTGCTTGAAATTTTAAGTTCTTCTCCGGTCTGATGTTTCATTTTTGATTTGAAGGTGAAAAGATAGTCCTTTGGTCTTTATCCGCAGTGATCAGACGCTAATTCGGGTATGATTGATGCGTGCCAAGTGGAGAAATCTATTGATCTGCTTTAGAAAATGAAGAGATCAGAGTGTCTTTGCCTTGAGCGGGGATGTAGTAGCAGTTAAACAGTCTGTCAGTCTCAACACTGCTATAATGCAATACTTTTAAAGGATTAGTTCAGGCAAAAAAAAATGAAAATCCTGTCATCTTTTGCTTATCACATGTCATTCGGAGCCTGTTTTACTGACTTCTGTGGAAGACAAAGGGAAATGGTGAAATAATAATGCTGCACTTTCGTTTAGGATAAAGACCTGACAGGTAAGCACTGTTAATCTAGCCTGCTTAACTGTACTTTATACATATGATGATGATGCATAACAGAAAGAAAGTGAAGTAAAAGAAAGGGATAGTGAACCCAAAAGTACCTCACCATTTCCTCGCACTAAAGCGTTTCTGAGCTTGAACATAAAACAAGAAATTGCGAAGAATGTTGGACAATACAGAAATTTACAATCAAATAGGAACACAAAATACTATGGCAGTCAATTGCATAATTCATTTTTATTTGCCCAATTTTATTCATTTTATTGCACCCTTACAGAACATTTTCTTTCAAAGCCGTTTTGAAACCTTCTTGTTTTAAATTCACACTGTATAAATATATGTTAATTAACCAAATCGGTATTTTCTGTTTTCCATTTCTTTACAGTTGTGAATTGCATTATGGGACCTTGATCTCCGCTCTGTCGACTTTGATGTTGAAAAATGTAAAATAACAGAAAATGTAC